GGAGAAGCACCATCTTTCGATGTGAGAGTTTTGCATAGTCATTTGGTACGGCCTGTGGAAAAGAAAATCATGGAGGCACGGGAAATATACTGTGTCCGACCGGAGATCAACGCAAAGGAGGAGAGCGTGACCTCCTGAGACCGATTGAATGATAACACTCAGGAGAAGAGCGGTGTCCCATTTTCCTTTCAAGTTCCCACCAATAGGTCCACTTCCCTCTTCCCCAACTTTTCCGGTTGGTTTGATAGGATCCGTTGTGTTCTATGTAGTAACTGATTGTTGACTGATTGTTTGCAACTATGTATTGTAAAGTTAAGGTCTGAAGAAGGCATTATATGTCGAAAGTTAACCAATAAAGTGGAGTATCAAGAGCTTCGAGGTTACACATGAAAAAGAAGCTTTCTGATTGTTGAGATCTCGATTGCAGCGCTTGATGCTCTATTTCGCCTCGTCTGTTTTCAGTAAGTTGGTTCTCCTGTACTCTTAAAGAAATTCCTTGACAGTCATAAGGCACGCTTTGTTGACGAGGACCTTTCCACGTGGTTGGCGCTGGGATCCTGTTTGAGTGCTCTCTTTTTTTCCAAGAGGGATACGGCAAGAGGGTTTAGCCTCGGAATTCGGGCTAGCTGCGAACGACGGAAAAAATTTGCACCGTTAAGCAAGCCTCCTGTTAGATATTCGTAAACTTCTGTGGGATGCTCCTAAAAGACGCCAATCAAAAGCTCCACTGTTAGATCCGCGTAGTTCTGTATCAGAGGGAGTCTTGAAGTGTGCAGGCCTGTGTGTGTCGCGCTTGAATATCCGCTTGTTGAGTCGTATTTTTGTTCGCACTAGACGATGACCCGAGCAGGTGTCAACCGTGGGCAACATTTTTACATCAAGTAGACTCCAGCCTTAGTGACAACATGATCTATTTCCGTATGCGTTCGGCCATTTAAACTCTCCCAAGTCCACTGGTTTGCGAACAGGAGTTCACGGAAAAGGTTCACGCATATAGAAAGTTTAGAAAGAGATCTCCGTTTTCGGTCCTGGCGCCAGAGCCATAAGGTCCGAGCCTCCAATCGTCAATGCAGTTCGTGCGCAGAGGGAAGACGACAAGACGCGGGTTGACAATGTTTTGCGAGTCCATTAGGAGGGCGATTGTCGAATTGATCATGAATCCAACCCCAACAACATTGCCGTCTGCTTTGGGTCCGATGATGAGCAGTACGTTGCGGTCTGTTTTTCAAATGATTTTCGTTTTGCCTTTCGTCCCCTTTAGTGCGATAACATCATACTTAAGCAGCAATTAGTGCGGCAGTGCGGCAATTAGACGAACAGACGTAAAGGCAGTCTGTGCGTAGCGACTTCGAGAGATTTTCAAGCTTCCGGTTCCGATGACGTCCTGATTTCCATGCGAGATTAGATGACCACTCACTGGTGGAGGCTCCTCCCGACGCCGTAGGGGAGCATACCAGATGTTCGCAGGACTTTAGCTGTTTGAACGATTTGCCTGGCTCGGTTGCTCCTTTGTCAGGGATACAAAAAAGCCGCCCATACGACAGGCAACGTGTACTGCGTGACCATTTGTACAATTAGCCACCATTTGCTATGGTGTCACCCTATCACCGCGATGAGGTGGTACATGATAGGGATCTTTTCGAATGAGACATGTTATTTGTCAATTGTATTTATCAACAGACTTATACCCTCTAAATGGTTAGATACATATCGTGGACATATACGTCAAGCACAGAAGGGAGCGAGCGAAAAAGAAACTTTGAACGAGAGACGCTGTAAATGTCTATACTCCACGCTCGTGGACCTTTAAACACACTCCACGAGGACGATCACTGCTGATCGACCGGATAGAGTAGACTCGAAGATCGACGATAGTTGAATGTAAGCTCATCGAAAAAATTCGAGACCATAGGAGACCATAGACCATTCGAGACCATGCCTTACGTTCATTAATTCAAGTAAGGCATCTGACACCGCTAATTCAGTACTTGAAGCCT